GGGCAAACCAGAGATTTTGGAAAAACATTATTGGACTTCTGCAAAAGAACAGGCTTTCGTATAGCAAACGGCAGATTTGGGGATGAATCTCAGGGGCTCACAACTAGACGCCACATTTTGGATTACTTGCTCTGCAGGAAGAAGGATTGGAGTTTTTTGATAAACTTCAAAGTTGATGACTTTGGAACCACAAATCATAACACGCTTATTTTCACCCTAAAAACAAATATAAGGGAACGTACATGTAAGGTTAGGTTCACACTTTCAACTAAGCAAAGGTCAGAACAAGACTTTGAAGTAATTTGGTACCTTCAGACACTGCATGAACTAACATCAATCTTGAATGGATTCTTAAATGCAGATGGAGAAAGCAACCATCAAAGAAGAATATCAAATCTCTATATTGAACAGACATTTTTCTCACAGTACAAACTTCATGCTGTACCAAAGCTACAGAAAGAATCTGACAAATGCATGATGCACTGCTTCTCGGTTGCACCACGTTCAGCTCCCCTACTTGTTGAAAGCATACTGTGCTTCTATCTTCTACACTGTTCAAGCATTGACGACATGTTTAGCAGGGTAGAAGAAACTATGACTGCAGCATACGGACACTGTTTCAAAAACTACCCAGGGTGTTTATTCACATTTCTGGGTGCTTTCTTAACAGAAATTACACCTGAAAACGAAGACAGCAAACTCAAAAGAAAAGCTGAAGGAGCTATGAACAGTGTACGTGAGAAAGTGTGTAACAATGGAACTCATGAAATAATCAAGGACCATAATCCATTTCAGCTAATCATTAAGGAGCTTGGGCATGAAGAATATCAGCAAATTGTAATTTGGAAATTTGCTCTCAGACAAATCTTCAAATCACCCATAACTCCTGCTTTTTGCCTTGATGTTAGCTTAGCAGACCAGGAGTACCATGATGGGCATGTATATATTCTTTAAGACAGGACAGTAGTGTCTAAGAGATCACCAAATATGGCAGAAAAACAATTCTGATGTGCAACTGGAATAATACATGGAATCAATCAGAGTCAATAGGATATAAAGGCAAACTAGAATTTCCACGCTCTTCCCACACAAATTCACACTTGTACATGAATGCAGCACAAGTTAACTATCGGATTGAACATTTTGAACTGTCAATATTATACATGCGCATTTATTCTGATTTGAAATTTGTGAATAGGCGGCGTGCCTGTACCCTTTTCAGAAAAGGTAATTCAAGATTTATGATTTTGGAAATTCTAGATTTTGATTTTGGCAATTCTAGATTTGATTTTGGTACTGAACATTGCATTTGTTGCTAAAAGATGACACATTACAAAGCTATACCTAATGTAAAACGTAACCATTCTCAAGGCTCCAAAAGTAGCCGCCTGGAAAGAACTTGCATGCCTCTCAGTTTTGCTGAATAAATGATGTAGTTAATGCAAATGTAGCAAATTTCAGTGAAGATATCAACGCTTCAAGCCATAATTTTAAAGAACAAGCAGTTTCTCTAATCCAAAATGTAAAATGTTTGCACAATGAACAGATTGTACAGTAGATTGTACATATTGGTACAAGGTAAAATTGCCTTATTGTTAAAATGGCTTCCAGATTCCGAAGGCATACAATGTACATGTACACCTACATGTACAGTACATGAATGGCCCATACATGACCCTGACCCTAACTCCTGGTAGATTTATCTACTACAATGGGTCTCTGATTGGGATGGAGCAAATGGGAATTCCCCTGATGAGAAACACAACTAGCAACTGCATTCTAAAATTGTGTTACATGTACCTGTTCCTGCTGTAAAGCTATGCGACAAAGATATGGAATTTAGAAATCAGTCAAACAAGTGTTTATGCAGGAATCATACTCTTAGATTCCAGCAAGCATACAACTTTAAAAACTTTCTATCAAATGGATTGGGAGGACAGCTTTATGTGTTTTTTTTTTAATTTACAGGAAACATGTTAGAGCTACAGCCTTTTAAAAAGCAGACAATGATGGACAAATGGGACACCATTTAAGGAAATTACGAATAGGTTATTTGTAGTTACTACACAAAAATAATGCAATCAAACTGATGCTAGATAAAAATCCTGCTAACCATGAGGACTTTCTTTTTAAGAATAAGTTTATACAATTTTCTCACTGGCTGAAACAACTAAGACCCCTTGATTATCTACCAAATTTTTTTCATGTAGTACATGTAGTATGAAGACAAAAAAGATAGTGTTGAGAATGTTGCAATGCAACACAAGTAGGTCCTCCTGATGTGCATGACAAATATGCACATGTACGTATACATATGAAGGTGATATTCTCTATTATAAAAGTGACAACATTAACAATTTTTTATGTAGACCACAGAAATTCACTGTAAACATTGTAACCCTATTTTAAAATTCACAGTAACCTTTCGAACTGATCTACCAGTAATATGTATGTGTATATTTTAAACAATGCTTGCAAACTACAGAACTTTTCAAACTACAGAACAGACTCACAATGATTTCTTCTTTTGATGCCGTTTTAATATAACTTGTATGACAGTAATACAAACTGTAAGTTGAATATGCTATAAAATATAAAGAGGACATAATGTAAGCTACGTTAGGAATTTAATGCAGGGTGCAATCAACTAAACTTTTACCTGTGGCTTAATCTGATTGACACCCAAACTGAAATTTATGTACAGTATAATTTTAAAATCCAGTGACGATTTGTATATGTTGTAGACTAAAGTATAAAGAGGCAATCATACCTAACTGAAAATGTTTTCCTTTTTTCCGTGTACCCGTAGTTTGTGGTAAATGTACACATATATTACATCTTCTTTATTTCATAAATGACAACAGNGAAAAAAAATTGGTTTAAGGCTTAATTGCTCCTAATTCATTGTAGTCATTATTCTATTTATTAATTCATAGCAACCACTGAAATCTTGTAAAGTTGTAAACTTAGCAGTGCACACATGGATTTCTAAAATAATGTTTTAATCAATGTTATTGAAATAAAGCTTATGACATGACTTGAATGACAAACGATATACTGTAAGTTGAATCTGTATTATTTATACATGATATAATGCGAGCTTCTTTATGCATTGGAGGGGATACGTCAATGTAAAGGTACATTTAAATGTAATTTATGTCTCTGACACAATTTGATTTGCACCCAAACTGATTTTGATGTCTCGCCTTTAATTTCTACATGTTGCAGACTATACAGTTAGACTTACATTATGCACAAAAGGGAAAACATTTCCTTTTTTCATGATGTATTGGCAATAAATAAAACACAAGTTTTCAAATGTGAATTGATGGTTTGACTGTTTATTTCAATGACGGGTGAGGACACAGTGAATTTAAGACTTCAAGGGACTGAGGTCTCTGAGTCTACCAAACAACAACAGTAGGACTGCCACAATTAGCCAGGAGATCACAACTCACTTGATCACAATTTCTGACTGATCTCTTGTAAGTCTTTTAACTTCAGCTCATCAGCTAAAGAGGCTGAGCCACCTAAAGCCTACGGTAATCAGCTCAACCACTGTGCTTTGTGAACACTAAACCGGAGTTTTTCTTTGTTCGTATACACAACTAACTGCACGAATACCTGCTTCTGTTAACATGGCGATTGGGGTTTTCACTCAAAAATGATCAAATTAAATGTATAATTGTTTTTTAAAAGTCACTCCATAAGAAAGGATCAAAATGTTCAGAGCTCAACAGGCCTAACATAACCTGAAAGAATTTGCTAGACGTCAATGATCAACTTCCTGAATAAATAATGCAAACAGGGCGATGTATTAGGTAGACAACAGGTCTACTAAGTTGGGTCCTCCATGAGAAATCAAGGAAACATTTGTGTCTGCCAGAATTATAGGTATAAGAGGTATGACCATTCATGGTCCACATCTACGTAAAAAATCTGAAATCAGCGGAAGGTAAGGCCACCACGCCAGTAATAGGGCTTAGCCTCTAGGAGCATAGTTTGTGCTAACTGACATGTCCTGGTACTTTCAGTTGCACTTCACGCAGCAAGATATACCCCACCTACAGCGAGCTGAGTCTACCTACCGAGATTACCAATAATAACTGCCTTACGCCATTCACTAAATTCTTAATCAACAGGTGGTGCGCCCTCATCTCCCACAATATATCGGAACAGCCACTGTGTTCTTCCTCTTTTTCGAAGCGCACGAGTGCCAAGGCCGAGTGGGGAGAAAGGGAAGGAGTGTGGTAATCTGGGTAGGTGGGGGAGAATCTACTGCCTTCAGCCTACCTATTGCCAATACATTTGCAGAGTAGCACTGCACATGAAGAGGTGGGTAAGCGAGGTTGCTCTAACGTAAGTTCATAGAAGGTAATCAAACGATGTTGTGAGTATACCGGACTATCAACTAAAAAAGAGGGGGTATAAAATCCTGATTCCCCATAGAAGGTCGCTTGAGTATGATGATAGTCTCTTGCAGGGCTTTGAGATGGCCGGCATCAGAGTTACTGCGATGCTGTTCCGAGAGTTACCAATCCATGAAAGTGGTCGATATCACTGATACAATGTCAGAGCATGTCACTTTACATGTACATATGTCAGTTATAGGAATCCCCTTACAATTGGCCCAGGTGGAAGACACAACTCGGACATCATGGGCACGAACATGACGTTTGCATTGCTCATCCGGGGTGGCAGGCCAATCTTTGCTAGCAAACAAAATAGCAGAGACAACCCACCAAGTAATCATGTCCCTGGAGGCCAGGTGGTGAGACGACACAGCAGTGATGAGTAGTTGAGAGGCAGACCCCTGAAGTCCTTTGTCCTTTCCATGTACCACTTCAGCATGTGGACAGGGCACCAGAGTTTGTCTGAGGAGTAGGCCGAGTGTGACTGAATGAATGAAGGATGGGATAGATCCAGTCATCCACCTTGGCGGTGGTCCAGAAGCAGTGTTGCATTACTCGTACTCCGTACTCATGTACTATTCCAGTACTCGTACCTGAAGAAACATATTTGTACTTGGGCTGTAAAATACTCAGAACCAAACTGTACTTGAACATCCAGGTACTCGTACTAGATTAACAGTACTCAATCAAAAAAGTCCTTTAACCTACCACGGCCATTAAAATACAATGATACCAGAAAATCGACCCTCTCTGATCGATATTCGATACAGTCTGACAAATACAGGGTCTAATACTAGCATGTGGAAGCAATTATGTATAATGGCACAATTAGCGTCTGCAGGCTTACTAGCCAATCACGTATGCAAAATGTTGGGTTATTGGTTATTCCTAGTCTTGATCTCAAGACCTTCCTGTTTATTTCACAACACGAACCATCATCAGAGACGGTCCATCTGGCTATAGTGTCTGTTGATGCAGGCCGGCGAGGCATAACCAAAGTGACAGAGTTGAGAAGTGCCACAGAGATTTCTGGTTTTGGCGAGGTACCACTTGAGAGTTCTAATCAGACACCGGGGCTTGTCGTCTGAGGACCCAGAGTGTTTGTTGATGTCAGGAACAAAAATGTCCGGAGCATGGATGGACTAAGTTTGATTATTTGTAAGGAAGCCCACGGATGGGATGAGGCTAATGCCTGAGGTTCCCAGCAGATATGTCCATCAGCAATGGATAGGGTGTGGAGTTCACTGCCTCTCCGGGACACAGTGACTGCCTGGAGGAAAGCCAGTATCATCAAAGTCCGGAGGGGAGAGGTGTCACCAAGAGGTTCGAAGGGATGACATGCAGAATCCTCCAATTGGTCATGCCAAAAAAATGCAGTTAGTCTCAATTCTCCAAATCCTCCAGTATTTCTTGAATATGCTCCTTTGTGGGGTAGCTCACTGCCTCAACCCTGTAACATTTTCATCCTGTCATTATGTTGATGCATTGTGGATGGCATCTAGGAGCAGCATGTGGGATTTCACGTATAACGTAGGCATGAATTGCATGACTGAACATAAACAACACACGATCCAATCCACAACCTTGAAACAATGCATCCTTCGCAATCAGCAACACAAATTTGCCATTTAGCTCAATCCTCCAAAAACTTCCATAACCACCCAAAGGACTTTGGACGATTGAGGACGGTTAGAGCTGGCTGGTGAGGTGTAGGTGAATTTATTGGTCCAAAGACTGAATTGCCTGAAGGTTTTTTGGTTTGTATTCAACAGTCTACCTCCAGAATAAGGTTTAAGCCAAATTAAAGGCGAAAACATACGAAATGAAAACAAGGCTTGGCAGTCTTACTGTTTACCTATCACGCACCAACGATTCAAATGCATAAAGTTGTCCTTTACTTCTTGCTGCAGAACAAACCCTGGCGAGTATCCACTCAGACTAAAAATCTGCAAGGTACATGTATATTTCAAATGAACAGAGGACCAACTACAGCATCCACCAGTTACCAAAGTAAGTAGTTTATTTGGACCAAGAAATGAACCAAAAATCAGTAATTATCACACTTACTCCTACTCTCCCCTCCATCATCCTATCCATCTCCTACTCTCCCCCCTCCATCATCCTATCC